CTGGGTCCTCATTTTACCCACCTCGGAAGGATGGAAGGCTGAGTCAACCCTGAGCCGGTGAGATTTGAACAGCCAAACTACAGAACTGCAGTCAGCTGAAGTAGCCTGCAGTGCTGCATTTAACCACTGCGCCACCTCGGCATTGCATGGCAAAACAACTAGACACAAAGACAGATTTCCCCCACCCCATGCCATCACTCTGCTAAACACCCAACTTCCACAGCACTGATGCCTTAAAATATTTATTTGTGTAGTAGAACTGTATTGCTTTAATTGATATGCCTCTCATATTCTCATTTTTCTCATCATTCCTACTAACTTCTCCTATTGGTATCTTATGATTTATGACTTGTTTGTACCTTATGATTGATGGTTTATTGTTGTACCTTATGATTTATGATCTATGACCTCACTTTTTTTTGTATATACATTGAGAGCTTATGCACCAGACCAGAAACAAATTCCTTGTCTATTGTCCAATCACGCTTGGCCAATAAAAAATATTCTATTCTAATTCATTCTTGTCCATACTTGTTTCCGACTGTCGACATAGATGCCCTCCCTCCTGCATTTCCTATTGGCTTACTAAAACAATTGGTCAGCTTTCTCAGTCCATTGGTTTAACCTCTAACTAAATTCCCACAATACACACTAAAAACCATCAAGAAGGATACAAATACACATATAGTTAACACTTAGCCCCTCTCCGTCAACTGCATGCTGCATTTTAACCAAACTTGGCTACTTATTGTGCCCTCCAAACCCCAAAGAGTCAGAAATCAGAACATTCAACCGACAAGAATGCTTATTAGTATGAATACTGGTTTCAAGATATTTTAAATGTTGGGCTTTCAGGTTTGGAAAGAAATAGAATACAAATCTTTGTAAAAATGCTAATAATTCGCAGCTTCTGAATTTGGAAGGAGCTAAAATGGTAGTTTATGTATGGATACTAAGAAAGATTTTTAGCTTATTGTATCTCAGCTGACTTGTTTAAAAGTTTTATTTAGATAAGCCTAGCTTTTCTCAATCTAGCAATCTCCAAATATTTTGAATTATAATCTCATAATTCCCAGACAGCATAACTAATGATACATTTAACACATCTGGAGGACAATAGTTGGCATGGGGACAAACAATTTAACTTGCTATTCTCATCATTCTGGCCATCAAAAAAAATTATAAATCTAAATATCAATAACATAGTCAACTCTGCCTCATCTTTGCGATTACTATCCTGGGGACTGATTTGACAGCATCTTGTGGTTTGGGTGGGTTAAGTTTGCAAAAGTGACCTCCTTTTAAATACAAAAAAATATTTATTATTAAAACCTAAGGATTATTCAACTTATTTTTATTTGGACAAGTGTAGGTCGTTTGGGTGGCCTCCACTCATGAAGTAGGTAAATCTCAGACAATGGGGCTGGCCAAAACAAGATAAACACAGCACCACTTGCATTCTTGTAAACAGCCTCCAATGCTTCCCCTTATCGACTACTCTTTCTGTTGGTCCAACATGCTATTAGCTAACCCTTTCCCCATGAATTGCTCTTGGCGGTATCAGCCTTTTAATTATGCCTCCCATATTCCTCACTTACCCCATAAGCAAATAGATGAGGATGGTGATGGAGAGCAGAACTCCACGCTGGGTTGAGTGGCGACACAGGAATAAAACCAGGTAGCACAAGAGGCTGAGGAGCACAACCCACACCATCTGCAGCTGAAAAAAGTGGTAGAGGGCATAGAAGCCACTAGCGACGGTGCTCAGGTGCTTAACATAGGATGGCAGAGCTGGAAAAGAAGAAGCGGGAAGCTTCGATAAGAGAAAGAGAAGCTCACCGTGGCTGGCTTCACCCAACCCACCTAGCTATAGTGTGTGTGTGTGTGTGTGTGTGTGTGTGTGTGTGTGTGTGTGTGT